ATTTTTGTTTAAATATATTAATTTTATAAAAATATAGATCATAGGTATTGTTACATAAATTTTCTAGGCAAATTTGCTTGGAATAGCCTACAGATTAAGGAATAATAAATATTAATTATAAAAATTAGTACCAAGTAGTAGATAGATTAAGAAAAGAAGGAGAAAACCTAATACTAGAAGTATCTATAACAGCATTTATAGTGGCTAAAGAAATAGTTGATAATAGCAACTTTAAATAAAAATTAAGTATAGAAATTATAGTGAATAGTCTTAAATCTGCAATTATTCAAAATTTAATAAAAAAAGAGTGAACGCTTAAGAGAAGATTTATTAGAAGTATATAAAAGATTAAAAAGAAGAAAGATAATTAAGTACTATATGAATAGAATATTAGAAAGTGATAGTAAAAATAAGGATATAGGTAAAATAGGTATTAGATGAGTAGTTAAAGAGAAAAATATAGTAGGTAGAAATATTAGCTTTAGTAGTAGTTTAGAGAATTAGCCTTTCTCAACATATGCCAAGCTAGGAGCTATTTGATCAGCTCTTTTTACAGCACTATATGAAACTGAAACACATATTTTCACAGATAATAAAGTTGCAATAAAAGTTTTAGAAAGAGATAATATAAACAACAAAATACAAAGTTAGTTTAAGCTAAAAAACAGAAGCATAATAAGTTAAATTAAAAGCTATTACAAAACAAAAGACTTAAATTTAGTACTATATAAAGTTAAAGATCATAACAGAAACAAATAGAATGATCAGGCAAATAGGTTAGCTAAGGATAGAATGAAAAAACATATAAGTCTCAACATATTAAAGACAATATTTAGTAACCTAATAGCTATATCTAAATAGAAAAGTTAAACAATTAAAAGCTTTCTTAGATTTTTCATAAATATTATTATAGTAACAGTATATGAAACTGAGTAAACAAAATAGCAGAAGTCATATCTTATAACCAGAACTCTAATTCTAATACAGAGCTAAATTAGAAGATCATATAAGATCTGCTTAGGAAAATACAAAACAAAAAATATATTAGTTTAAAAAAAAGCAAAGCTTTCATGTTCTGTATAAAATATATAAACAAAATTCTATTTACAAGAAATATTTGCTTTTAAAAGAACTCTAGGCTTTACAAAAGCTAAAGATATATAGCTTGCTTCTGAAAAGATAAAACTTTTTACTATTTAGCAGAATATAAAATCTATCAAAGAATCTGAAAAAAAGTAAAAATAGAAGTTTTATAGCTAACTAGACTAGAAGCTTCAATAAAATTACATATAATAATAAGTAAGAATTCACTGAAGAAAGCAATTTATAATGCAAAATCTGAAGAAAAAATGCAAAACAGAAGAATGTATTTAAAAGAACTCACAAACATCAAATAGCTTATAAGTCTAAGCAAGGTAATATAATCAAAAAAGAAAGCAAGTAGAATCTTAATTAGCTTCATAAAACATTTTTAAGAATATTTTTTTGAATATCTGTAGAAGTTTCAGTATAAAGTTATAACTAATTAGAAGAAAGTAAACAATATCATGACTAAGAATAAAAAAAAAATGAAGCAAAAAGAAAAATGAAAACAAAGAAAATGCTTAACCTAATAATATAGAAAAAGAAAAAACAAATAAAAAGAATAAGAGAATACAAAAAGAAATATTAGAAAAAGTTAACACATGAGTACAAACTAGTAAAAAAGAAGAGTAATTAAAATTAAAAACAAAATAAATGATCTTGATATAGGCTAATAGTAGTCTCTCTTAAAACAAATACCTAGGGTCTGTATCTGCAAACTAAAGTCTTTGTGAAAAAAATTGTTGCTACGATAAATCATATCTAAATACCTTAAGGTAGTCAGATAAGTTCAAAATAGTTGAAGGAGAGTATTTTATTATATTTTAGATAGTAATTTACTTTGTAGCATATGTAAACTTTTCCTTAATAAAATGATGAGCAAGATTGCCAAAAAAAAAAAAAAGAAAAGAAAAAATACTTGAATATCCAAATAGAAGTATGTAAAAAAATTGATTATTAAGTTGTTTTTGGTATAAAAAATAAATAGTTAAAATTCAAAACAAATTAAAAGATTTTGATATAAATTAGTAATAGCCTTTTAATAATCAGAAATAAGTAAACTATATATTTAGTTAACCTTTTTTGTAAAAGAAATAGCTATTGCAACAAATTATACTTGGATATCTTAAAGCAACTAAGTAAGTCTAGAATAGTTTTTAAAAGAGTATTTTAGTATAGTTTATATTAAAATTTACTTTGTAGCTTATCTTAGCTTTTTCTTAATAAAATAATAGACAAGATTGCCTAAGTTATAAAATGTAATCTTCAAGTTATTCAGATTATATTCAAATAATTAATTTACATAAGATTATTAGGAATTAAAAGTTCGAATGGCTTGGAGATCACGGGACCGATAATTTTTTTTTTTTTTTTGACAATTCTCATAATAATTATCTAAATAATTTTGATATATCCATTCCTAAACGTGTATAAAATAACGATATTAAAGTATGTTTCACAATGTGTTATTCGTAAAAATTGACAGGTTATCGCAATAATGTTAGATAATAATAATTGTGTACTAATTGATTTTTTAAGTTGTTGTATAAAGAACATTTCTCACATAATAATAATTATTTACATTTGTTATTAATATATAATTTATATAAAACATTATAATTATATTTGCAAGGGTACATCAGTTAGTTACATATATATCTTTTTTTTTTTATAGACGATTCTATGAACCCTAGGTGACAATTTTTCATCCGGATTGTAACTTTATTCCAGAGGAACTTCGGTGGAAGAGTTGTTATTACCCAATTGCCAAGTTGGAATTGATGGATGGCCTGAAGTAACACCAGGAAGAGACGTTAAAGATTGAATGATAGGTGATGTCGGACTTGAGATAACTGGTGGTGCTGAAGACGACGATGACGACGTTAATATATCAGTAGAAAGAGTCCGTCGATTGGCGAGAAGAGATTTTAATGATTTAAGTTCTTGTTGTAATTCAATTAATGATTGAGTTTGAGATTCTTTAGTCTTTTCAAGTAACTAAATTGAAAAATGAATGAAATGTAAATAATTAAAGTAATAAAATAAATATTAAATGACACGTAATATTTTGTATACTTTTGGAATCAAATCTCGTATTGTGTCTATATCTCCTTTTATATTTCTAAGTTCAGCCTCCTTCTTTATTTCATTATCTTGAATATTTTTCAACATATTATCCAATTTTTCTAACGACTCTCTAACTTTTAATGATTGTTCTTCAATGCCTTTTTTAACAAGTTGAATGTCAAGCTTGACAGTGTCCAGTGTATCAGAAGCAGTAGTGAATTGATCTGTAAGAAGTTGCTTGTCTCGATTAAGCTCGTCTGCCGTCGGTACCCTCAAAAGAGGAACAATATATTTCTGTAAAGGAACAAAAATCAATTTCATATGGGATAAAAAAAAAAACCCCCCAAAAAAATTTTCAACAAACCTTGGCGATAGCAACGATCGCATATCCGATACCACCAATAAAAACGGCAGCAATGAAATAATCTCTCCAATCCATTCTTGGAACCGGTGGTGGCTGCATGATCATAGTTTTACCACTTTGAGGAACATTAGTCTGATCATTTTGTGGTATTATTTCTGACACCGCGGTAGACTCCTCATTCTTGGCTCTTTTCAATGCTTCTTCAATTTCATCAGAAGTTAAACCTTTGGATTCCAAAAATGCCACTCGTTTTTGAAGAGCAGATTTTTGGACATTTGGATCTTTAAGAAAATTTACAGCAGAAGCTATTAATCCTTGCCGAGGTGTCGACATATGTCAGGTTCAATATTAGAAAACCTCATTAAGCGCGGATGTAATAATTATATAATAATCAGCTGTCTTTATCTAATTGATAATCATTATGGTAGCACATAAGATGTAGATACAGTCAGACCTCTCTATAGTCACCTCCTCTATAGTCGCATTTTCTTATAATCACATAAATTTTAAAACTAACTTATACTGATAGTACTTCGTTAAAGAAAATGAAGAGAAAAAAAATTTTATTAGTCTGCTATATTAAAAAAAGGAAAAAAAACTCTTTACAAATAAAACAATAATATTATTATTTAAAAAGACAAAAGAAAGAACCGACTAGCAGGGCTAGCGGCTCTACTAACTCCTAACCTACTGGTTATTCGGAGTGTCATAGAAAGCCCGAAGGCTCCTCAACTTCTGGAGTTATGAGTAAGTATAATTATAAATTTATATACTACTAAAAAATTGATGAGTAAAAAAATTATGGGATTCGCAAAAATTGACGTGTACTTATTTTTGATTGGTCAATCACAAATGACATCACTAGACAAAACGATTATAATCTGTATATATATAATACTTATAAAATTTAACCTCTATAGGAACAAACTTCTCTATAAGCACCAAATTCTTAAAACTAAGGGTGTGATTATAGAGAGGTTTGACTGTATTGTAAAAAGATTATAGTATTTAGAATTCGTAATTGCAAGATTTACAATTTTTAATATCAATAATTATATCTCCTGTCTCTTGTGCAAAGTTAAAATACGGTAAAATTTAAACGAACAATTAATTGGTGCAAAGCATATGGATTATAGAGAGAATTATCCAGCATTTTAATTGGTTTTGGGGGAAATTGAATTAGGGGGATGTTAACCCAAGTTTTAACTTCGAACGGCCTAGTGGGCTAATATTCATGTGCTTCATTGGGCTCTATTTAGAGTGTCCAGATTTATGCAATTTCAGGGATTTTTCATTGTTCAAACCATGAAAAAAATCCCTAAAATCGCATAAGTCTGGACACTCTAGCTCTATTGAGTTAATTGCCAACCTATATACCGTAATATTTATTTCTTTAAATTGTAATTAAATTTTAAATTTTACTTTTTTTACTTGCATTAATCATTACTCCTCACAACTAGTCTTCTTAAGGAATGAATAGTATTTAAGGAATAATTATCGTTATTCAGAATATTTCGATTATTCGGGCATGATAAAGTGCCTATAATAACTTTATTATTAACGATAACGATAATAATTAAAACGTGATTATATCATGTGACTCATGTAAAAAAAAGTTTCGTGACGTTTTTTGAACATTCGTTGCGCAACGACAACATTTTAAATGCATTTGTTACGCAATGGCAAAGGAAAGGGACAATTACTAAACTCATTTATAAAATTAAATATAAAAAAAAAAGAAATAACAAAATAATTAACATTTAAAGTAATATTTTTTTTTTTTTTATTTGGAGAATATAGATTAATGATATCATGGTATAACTTGAATCCCAACAGATTTAGCAGTAGCGATAATACATTTACAAATACCCTTTAAATCATAATCTTTCATATTTTCTTGTTGTTGTTTAATTAAAGCGATTTCATAAACATGTTTTAAACTAATTTTTCCAACAATCTCCGAACCAGGTTTACTTGCACCTTTTTCAATTCTAGCAGCTCTTTTTAAAAACCATACAGTAGGTGGTAATTTTGTAATGAATGAGAATGTATGATCAGGTTTTATTGATATAATAGTTGGAATAGGTGTACCAGGTTCAAAATTTTTAGTACGTTCATTAAATTGTTTACAAAATTCAATGGCTTTTACACCACGTTGACCTAAAGCTGGACCTATAGGAGGTGAGGGTGTTGCTTTAACTGCCGGAACCATACATTTTACTTGAACGTTTTTAACTGTTTTAGCAACTACTTTTGCCATTTTACATTAGGAATTTATTATCGTTATGAATGAGAAAAAAATATTAATTTAAATACCTGATCTCGGATAATGATAAAAAAAAAAAAAAAAAAAGATCCACCAATAATAACAGCAGTAATCACATGTATATAATTTTTTAAACATCTCGATGTAATTTGTCATCTTTAATCTTTACGTTAATTAAAAAAATAATAATAGAAATGGACTTTGGAATGTATAATGATGCCGAAAGGCAACAAATTCAGAAAATAATTGAACAAAAGCAGGTATAAAGGTTTAATTATTAGTCAAGAAATCTATTTCACGAGATTTCAATTCATATCAACGAATTTTATAGTAATTTTTTACCTACTCGAAAAGATGCGAGATTTTTTGAAATTTTATACCAATTTAGTTGATAGATGTTTTAATGATTGTATCAATGACTTTACTTCAAAATCTTTAACTTCAAAAGAGGTAACGTAATCATTAAAAGTTTCCATTTGTTCTGAAAATTCATTAGTTTGCTACTACTGATATTCAGAAAAAAAAAAAAATTAACATATGAAATAATATTTAAGTGAAAATATATATAACATACAAAAAAAAAATTTGTTATAGGAAAAATGTATTAGCTATTGTACCGACAAATTCTTAAAACATAATGAACGTGTGGGTCAACGTTTTGGCGAATTAAATCAACAATTAATGCAGCAACAGCAACAATCTTAGTTACGATAAAATTTGTTAATAATTGTAAGGTACTTTGATTTAAATAGAATGATGACGTGTATTTTTTCATTCCTATTTGATATTTCGTGCATTCGTTGATTTACAGGTATTATCCGAGCAATGGATGCAGATTCGAATTGGCAAAAAAAATTAAAAAAAAAAAAAAAAATGGAAATTAAAAAAATTATTTTATTTCTTTAAATTTATTCTCATTTAGTTTATTTTTCAATATCTAATCAAAGACAATGTTATATTTTATCTTAGAAAAAGTTTAAGTTTTTAATCCAATATCCTCGATGCCATGTTGATGTAAAAATACTACTTTCTGATGGATCAGCAGTACTGATCCTGATAGTAAAAAAAAATCATTTATGTACCTCTTGATAATATTCTAAATTCAACATTATTATGGCTAAGTATATTGTTCTCAGGATCTTTTTAGAACCTTAACAGGAACAGTACTCTATTTTTACTTGTCAGGATCAATGCCGCTGATCCATCAGAGATAGTATTTTTGGCATATAACATATTTTTGTCGCTTTTACGTAGTCTCCGAAATGTCCTGACTTAAAATTCTTAAACTAGATGAAATGAGAATAATTAAAATTTTTTTAAGAATTCATTTTAAAACAAGACTTGATGAAACCACAAAAGTAGTAGAGATAATTATACCTTAAGTTAAAAAATTTGCTAACTTAATTTAAATAATATAAATTTAATAAAAACATCTTACTAATTCAAAAGAGATGTATCTTCTTTAAAGTCAATATATAAAAATTTTTTTTGATAGTGTTTTATTGGTTGTTATAAATTTCTAGATGGTTGTTTCTTGGTTATTGAGTAGACTTCTATTTGCTAAATAATCTTTATTATTTTATTAGTTATAAAATTAGAACTATAATTGCATATGTATAAGTTATCTTTTAAAAATCTAATTGTATATGAGCAGAAAAATGAACCTACTTTTAGAAATTTATAAAATATAATATGGATTAACTTTGTATAAAATAATAATTTTAGTTTGTTTGCAATTTGTATAATAAAAATAAGTTTTATTTTTTAGTTTAACATAGTAGTTTGATACCAAGATAACAGTTAAGTTAGTAAATCTATCATATGAGTGATACAAAAAAAAAAACCTGTTTGTAAATGAATATTAGGCTTTCTCTATTTGGTCATTTATTAAAGTTTAATATTTAAGTAATTCGTAAAATATATTATCATTATTAAAAGTATACATTTCTAAAATTTATATAATTATACAATTGAGTATAATTCTGACAATATTTATGAAATATTTTTAAAGAAAAAATAATTTTTTAGAATGTGATAATAAAAACATAATTTTCTTTTGGAATTCCATATTTAAAATCACAAATATTCTTCAACATTAATTATTCATAAAAAAGCATTAATATGGGAAGAAGAAATATAGTATAAAATAATATTGATACATGAATTATTCAGAAGTAAAAAAATCTAAAATACATTAATTTTTAAAGTTTTTATATGTTACATTAGCCACACCACTAACATTATCAAGCAAACCCACCATTCAAGGTATATTAAATTTATTCTAGTAGAAATATTCGCTTTACTTACAGTTGAAGACTGAATATTTCCACCAGGTTTATTAGCACTAGTAAACCCACCTCCTCCAAAGACAGAACTTTTTGTAAATGATATAGTAATATTAACTATTTGTGATTTAGGACCAGAATTTATTATATCTAAACAATACTTTTCGTTATCTTGAATTGGTATATTTCCTGTATCTTGATCGCATTCGGTAACAAATTGTAGATAACATGATAATGAAGGAATGAATTTGAATGTATTAGCATATTGGATTCGTGCAATTATACCAACTTCAGGTGCAGTAGGAAGTGGGGATGAAGTGCCAGGTGACGTGGTCCCGTAGCCTGGAGTTATTGGGTAACTACCATTAACTACTTTCACACTGTAACCTATATTATATGAAATTAGGATGTTAGAGATGAAATATATATATATATATATATTTTTTTTTTTTAAAAAAAAAAAACTTACTGATATATTTCGTAGCATTATTTGAACAGATAGCCCATGTACCATTATTAGGAGGTACCTCAACTGTATTATATGGAACAATTAAAGATGGTATTGTAAGATTTGAATTGGTTGAACTTGTTGAATTTGTCGAGTTTATAGGATTTGTCGTTGTCGAGTTTACAGGAGGTAATGTACTCGTCGAGTTATTTGATATGTTTGTTGAACTTGGTAGATTTAACGCACTTGTACCTGTCGAATTTGTTGATTGCCCGAGAGTCAAAGAGATCTTTTACATAAAATTCAAAATGGTCGAATCGCATAAAGAAAAAAAAAAAGGGAAACAATATTATTATTATTATTATTAGTACATATATAAGTATTTAATTAATCATTTTCATACAGTAGATGATACAAGAAAATAATAAATTTCACTACCTTTATTAATAACGACAATATTATACCAAAAATCAATAATCTAAAATTCATTATTCGGTTTTTATTCCTCACTTAAATTATTGTCTTTTATTATTATTATTATTAAGAAATATCATAAAGTCACCGAACATCCCCACTTTTTCCAAAAGAATGGTATCCAATTAGTTAAATCAAGACAAGGTTCAGAAATCAATTATAATTAAAATCGATTCTTTTGAAAAACAAGAAACAAAAAATATGTTGTAAAAAGGTTGAACATACATACGCACAGGGGTAAACCTTTCGTATTTCGATTAACGTTAAGAGGTTTAAATAATATTGATTGACGTAGACAAGTAGTGTTACATGATATCTATTCTAATTAATGCGTATGAAACCTTAATAATTTGATATACTACTTTTTGCCGCATACTGGTACGTACCAAAAAAGTCATCTTCAGTTTTATTTTCTTTTATTTCTTTAACTTATAATAATATTATCATATGATTTAATTATTGTATTTGTGATATACTAGGGCCGAAAACACTCCGTAATATACTTGTGTGTTTCATAATAATTTCATATCGATATATATAATCATATATAAGCGAAAGTATTTAATTTCATTATTAATATTAATCTTAAATTAGTGATAACGGATCTTTACTAAATTTATCTCATATAATTTTTTTTATTGGTTCAGAATACCGAATTATTCATATATACATAATACTATAATATATAAAGTAAGTTTACTTGAAAAAATATTTTTCTGAAAATTTTACTACGTATCACTGTGTAAAACTGCAGGATTAGGACATCTCGAATCTATGTATTTATTTTATTTTATTTTTTACATTTAATAGTAACCTTAATTGGAAAAATATATTTATACAGCATATACTTGCACGTGATCGTGAAATTATCGATGCCAAGAAAAATCCAAGATTTCTCCTGTAAGCCATTCAACTTAAAATGGATATAAAGTAAGCAAGTTTCATCGTCTACACACAGTGATAAATTAATACAATCAAAATCTGAACTTTTAAATGCGCCCTCTTCAGGACCATTTATCTATTCCCGTGCATTTTTTAGAGAATTTACATAGAGGTTTGACTGGTTTGACTGTAAAACATATAAAACTGAAACATTTCCAAAATCATATTTTTCTTTATTAAACTACAAAGATTATAAATTACAAAGAACAAAGTTTTTTTCTTTAATGTTTCATTTCACTTTTTGAAAAAAATTTTAAGAGGAATAATGTTTCATTTCATTTTGGAATTTTTAAATACTGTAAATTGTAAAATTTTATATTCGTTTTTTTTTTTTTTTTATCATAAAATAATCTATATTTTATTTTATTCTGAATTGATCTTGCTATTAAAAGTCTATTGATTATACTTAAACAAATTTTACATATTTTGATTCCATACGTGTCATACTCTATATAGATAGATAGATATATATTTTTTTTAACCAGGACATAAGAAAAGCTCTAATATTCATTTCAAAAAAAAAATATTGAAAAGTCTCTAAGATGAAATTTTAAAATGGAATTGATAAACAAATATACAGTATACGTATAAACTTATCATTTAACATAATTCCGATAAGAGGTCCAAAAAAGAATATATACAAATAAATTCCATCAATATAAAAATATAAAGATGTTTTTTTTTTTTTTTAATGTACTTGTAATTTCTTTAATAGTGTATTGAATTATAATCCAATAAGTTTATTGCTAGTCTATCTCCTCCAACGTATGGCTCTAAAGCAGCATAGACGATTAATGCAAGACTTAGTCCGACCAATGAATGAAAAAGTAAGTTTTCCCATTGTTCTAATTCGTGCAAACAGGATGTTGATATGTCTACACGATATGAATTAATGGAGAATTGATCTTTGATGTGTGTAAACATGTTCTTAAAAACGGTTGTATTTGGTTTGATTGTTGAGGTTTGCATTTTTTTTTATTGCTAGGTTGATTTTTCCGGATCAAATTTCGACAAATTATGATAACGGATAATAGATTACCGGAAAGGAGGGAAAAAAAGGATGATTTTGGTAAAGGGAATCGATGTTTCTTGGTCTTGGGATCTTATTGATCCTAAAGATTCACACACCTTTTTTGTAAGGAGAGTATGATAAAAGGGAGAGAAAAAGGAAAGACAATTTACCAAAGAAAAAAATTGGATGAGTTGTAATCATCCCTTATATATATGTAATATCTATTCACAACATGCTAATCAGAATATGGAATTTTAATTTATTTTAAATAATAAATAATATGAATAATAAAGGGTTTAGTATCTGATTTTAAAATTTTTACTTTTATCTGATAGGTAAACATTATTAGAAACAAATGACAATAAACATTATACGTATATTAAGTTATCATAACGCATATCTTGATATTGATTCACATATTTTTTATGCACATATAAATGCACATACGTATAGCTTTTCGAATTCAAGAAAAACATTTTATAAAAATAGTTATTTGTAATCTTTTAGTCACATGTTATGATCCCCTTGATCGAAAATTTGGTTAATAAATTCTTGGATTTTCCGTTACCAATTTTAATTTTAATTGGTAGTTGTGTAAAATTGCTTACATGTATTACCGTTATTCATCTGTTTCATATGTTACGTATACGTACAGTATTTTTTTGATTTTTGTGGTTGGTACGTACGTATTTAGTTGCAATAAAAAGGTGTAACAATATTCCGTTGTTTAATATTTATTATGACTTAATATGACATTTTTCGATTACGTACTTATTATCATACATACCAGATACGTATAAAATTTACAAAATTGATCCGGATTCAAAAAAAAATTACCAAATTTAAATTATAATTGATTTGGTTAAAGGCGTTTATATATCGGCAAAAATATATTATCTCAATAATAATATTTTATTAATGTTTTTAATTATTTAGAAATGTTTACCAATCAACTTTATGATTTTTGGTTTTTATATTGATGCGTGTAAATCATAAACATGTTTTTTTGATTGAAAATATTTATATTATTAACGTCTCTAAATCGTGTTAAACTCATTGCATCATCTATAAAATTGTTAAATATAAAAATAGATAAGTTAGTACTTTACCATAAGGATTGGACCCGAGTAAAAAAATTGCCGCTATATCTAATATGGTTAGCTCGAGATATATAGTAAATGGTTACGGTACGATTTTCCGAAAACTATTTACCCGAAAGTCTAAATAAAATATATCTAAATGCTAAATTGTCACCCTATGTGATATCGGGTAAGGGGAATTGAGCGACAACCATAGTAAAGATTTTTTTAATGAGTCTAATCTCTACTTTGGAAATATTAAAAATAAAAACATTTGTTTAAAAAATTGAAAGCTAACAAATTAAAAAAAAAAAATTATACCAAATCTAATTAGGCTACACAAAATTATATAATTGGTTTTCATATTCCGCTCGTGTCAGTGAAGCTGGGTTTGTAAATTTTGTTTTTTTATATAGTTAACCTAGAGATAGGTTTCATGCGTTTTTTATCGAATTAATTTAGTTCGTAAGTATAAAAATCACTTGCATTAGAGCTTAAGAATCACAAATAACTAATCATATAAAGATTTTGAAATGTTGGAAAATGTAAATATTGTAATGAAAATAACACGAATATTGCATGGTGTAAAACATGGATCCTAACAAGACAATCCAAGGATAAAAAAGTAGAAATAAGGATATATTGTTCCGTATGAGGAAGTGATTGAATGGATTCCTTTTGATGGACTACAGTATTGTCAGCATTCTGGTTGGATGGTATACGAACTATGCTGGCGCTTTCTATCTGCTTTTTCTGAATCAATCTCGAAAATTTCTTCTGAGTGGCAACCCTTTGTTTTTTAGTACCTCCTTCAGGTCAGCAATTATTTAATCTTTTTTTCATATTTGGCAAATATTTTTTTAAGAAGCGGCTTTGCGTACTTCGTCTTGAAAAACTGATGGTAATAGAGGAGCGCGTAAACCTGGAATTGTTGCACTCAAGACCTTGTCTGGTTCTAATGAAACCCTTTCGATTTTTTTTGAAAGAAGTAAGTTGGAGGTTCTGCAAGTGCTGAACAGATGCTAGTGCCTGTGCCTGGATGCGTTGTCAAAATGGTGTCGGGGAAATAAGCAACAACGGAAAGCCAATTATATAAATAAAAAACTTTTTCTTAAAAAAAAAAAAAAAAAAAAAAAAAAAAAAAAAAAAAAAAAACGTCTCGTATTAAACCATAAATTTAATTTTTTGTGG